CCCAGGCACCCGCAAACACCCCGGCCCCCGGCCTCAGCATTAACCCCCTGCCCCACGGCTCCAAACGAGACGGACGGAGCACCGGGAGCAGCAGGAGCCTCCAAGTTCACAAAGCAGCCAAAACCCCACCTGGGGTGCTCCCCAAGCCTCAGGTCCCCCAGATGCCTGATCCCTCCCCGAGCCCCCCAAGGCATGCACCGGGGTGTCCCTGGCTCTCTTCCAGCTTGCAGCCCCGAGTTCAGAGAGGGATATTTTAAGCCTTTATCGCTCCCTATCAATGTTTTGCCCTTCTGGGACTGGCGTGGGGTTTGGCTGTGGTGGGTCCCCACGCTGCCTGCAAGCGTCAGTGCAGGTTCAAACAGCCCTCGTGCCCCCAGTGCCAGCACCCAGGGACCCATCACGTCCCCTCCCCAGCCCCTCAGCTGCGAGCGCACACAGAGGAGATGGTGAGCCCAGAGCTGCCCTGAGCCCAGGCTGCAACAAAGCCAGCAAGGGGAGCGCAGCTTTTCAGGGGGGTACAGCTGCGACCCCCCAATCCACATACAAACCATGCACCCTAGCAGTCCCTGCCCCATGTCAGGAGGGGACAGGGCCAGGTCCTGCCACGGCCAGGTGGGATCCAGCCACAAACACCACTTCCACCACACCCGTTTGCATGTGGCGGATGCAGGCACAGGCTCAGGGTTTGCTGCAATCATTGCTTTTGCTGCAGAGGACGGGCAGCATAGCAGGCAGGGAGGCTGCCAGAGGCATGGCAACCCCTTCTGCCAGGGGGGCAGAACTGAAACACCCCCAGCCACGCCGCTGCAGCAATTTCTCCCGGCAGCCAGCAGCCACAAGGCATCACCTGGCCGCAGGATGTCACGGTCCCGGCCATTCCGGGGACTGTGCCAGCTCCAGCCTAGGGCACACCCCGAAAGGCAGAGTCCACGCCACCCTCACCATGACACCCATAAGAGTTTTACCTGCAGTGCCGTGGCTGGGGGGGGGGGGGGGCCGTGCCTCAGTTTCCCCCCACTGCAGATTAATCACCAGCACCCCAGCAACAAAGCTGGCGCAGAGAAGCTTGTGGGGCACCTCTCCCTTGGGTGCTTCCCAAAACATGCCCGCAGTGCCCCAGGCATGGCAGCCAAGCCCAAGTGCTCTGCCCCATCATGCACAGCACCTGGCCGCACAACCCCTTCGCCTGCAGCTGCCCGTCCAGGCCCCATCACCCCCAGCACTGCCATGATGTGGCACAGGTTCAGTTGGGACTGGTCTTGCCAGCATGGGGCCAGCCAGCCAGCCCCCTTCCTGGAGAAAATGCGGCAGGTCCCTCTCTGAAACCAGTCATGGAAACTACTATGCCATGCTGCCTGGGCAGGCACACGAGTCACTCTGCCTGAGGTGCCAGCGGGCTGTTTCGGGATCTCACTGGGATGAGCCACACACACACCCCTGACTTTTTGTCCGTGGGTCTCAGCCAGGAGCACCCGGTGCTGCCCTGTGTCATGAGCAGCTCACCAGTGGCTCAGCAGTTTTGGACCCCTGCTTTTGGCACTAGGGACAGGAACAGACCTGGGAGGCACCTGATGGCCGAGGCCATCAGCAGACCTGGCCACACACTAGGAAGTGGTGCAGCAGCAGGCAGCGTTGAGCAAGCTCATCGTTTCCCCTTTGCAAACAGGAAAGGGGTGGGGAAGGCAAAGCCCAGCACTCGGGGTGAGCGGCAGGTGGGATGTGCTGGGGTGGCATCTCCCCTGCCATGCTGCCTCCCCCACAGCCTCAACCAGGGCTCCAGGGTCACCACACTAATACAATCCCCTATAGCAAGTGGCTGCTGGGTGCCCTGTAGCTCCCAGGAGAAGGAGCCTCACACCTGCAGCACAGGGTAGGGGCTGCCTCTTCCTCCCAGAGAGCTCTCGGGGACACCAACACCCCCCCGGCCTCTGGGGTGGGAGCTCTGCACTGGCCGCGGGACACTGAGCTGAGCCCTAGCCCCCCCGCTCACCCCAGCCACAGCTTTTCTGGCTGGCAAGCCCCAGCCAGTGCTGCAGGGAGCCACAGCGGAGCCAGCACTGGCTCCATCCCAGCAACAGAGGTGGCAACACGGCATGCCGATGCCCAGAGAGACGTGCTACCTGCCTGGCCACCAGCCTGAGGCCGGCTTCCCTCTGCTGGGCTCTGCCCCAGCCCTCCCCTGCCCCTTCTCGGGGACCCTCCTGGCTCTCTGCGGCCCGAGGGGCTCAGCATCACCTGGGATGTGCCCAGCACTGGGGAGGGTCCTGGAGACGCAGGCTGGGGAGGCAAAGGCAAGAACGAAACCACCCAGGCTCTGCGGAGAATCTGCCAACTCTGCCTCAGCCACAGCTGACAGAGTGCAAGTGGCACCATGGCCTTGGAGGGGACACAGCTAAAAATAGCCCTGGGAGGACAGGCGGCCACCGGCAATGTGCCCTGCCAGGACCGGGCTGGTCCCCAGGGACCATCATGCTGTGGGCTGGCTGCGTGCTCGGCACAAGCAAGGGGGCTTGAAGCTCAGCCCAGCGGAGCTCACCTCCCTCCAGGACCGCACCACAGCAGGGCTTCTTCCAGGCCAGGGTGCACCCCGAAATGCTGGCTCTTCCCTCAGCCCTAAGGCAAAGCCCCAGGATGCTGCTTTGAACCCCCACCCCACTCTCCCAGCTCTGCCACCGCCATCCCTCGGAAGAGCCCATAGTGCAGCCAGGTTTGATCACAGCTGGTGCGGGAGGGTTTTCCTGCTGGGATCAACTTGGACAGCAAAGGAGCTGCTGGAGAAGAGCCTGGGAGGCTGAGTTACTTGGGAATGCTGGCACACGTGGCTGGTGGACACCACACTGGCTGCCCACCCGGCTTGCAGCCCTACACCGCTCCTGATGGGATCTGCTTGGCCCCGTGGTGACACAATGCCTTGCCTGGGAAGGAGGAGAGGGGACCGAACGCTCACCAAAGCACCGACCTGCATTGCACCAGCATCATCCCGGGCAGCTGCCCTCTTCCAAACGCAGCAGCCCGCTGGGCACGGGCCAGGGTCCGGTCGGGTCAGAGCTCATCCCCCTCCTGTGCCAGCGGGTGCCAGAACAGCAGAGGAGAGTCAGCAGCCCTGCAAACAGCCCAGCCGTGGGGCCACCAGCATCTGCTGGGCACCCCACAGGCTGGAGTCAGTTGGAAACCTTATCAGGCTTTGCGATATGGTAGAGGCCTTCCGGGACAGGGCAGCCGGCGGGCTCAGCCGGGGCTCGGTGCCTGGGCATTGCCACAGCCCCACAGGCTCAACTACATCTGCACTCCCCAAGGAGGTAGCCTGCTGCCATTGCAGGACCCCAAATCCCCCTTCCCAGTGATGGGGGGGATGTTTGAAAGGAGGTTCCAGCACTGGTCCTGACATGCCATTATTCAGGCCATCAGAAGGGGACGGAGGATTAATGCGGAGGAGAGGAACAAGGGAACAAACCCTCAGAAGAAGGGCAATCCCCCCTACACCTCACCCTCCAGCAGTCACGACCTTCAGCCGCTTTTTAAAAATGAGCTCGTGCTTCGCTATCCACAGTCACATCGGTCCCCGAGCACCCTGTCGCAGGCATCCCATGCCAGCCAGCCCTGTGCCAGTCCTCCCCTGCCCCTCGTACTCGGGTACCAGTGGGCACCATTGCAGCTCTCCCACCCTGCCCAACCGCTGATGGGTGAGAGCAGCGCTTGCATAATGGAAAATGTGAGCAGGGAGAGGGCAGCACGTCTGCGAAACCTCACAAACATCCGGCTGGCGATACTGGGGCTATCTTTACACCCCAGGCACTGGCTCAGTGAGCCCTGATTAACATGAGCAAGCCCAGCCTCCCCTGCCCTGCTGCAGCCTCCTCAGCAGGGACAGTCCCGAGCGGTGTCACTGTGCCCTGCGCTACAGTCCCACTGCATGGGGTGACCCAGTGACCGGCCAGTCCCTTTGCCAGCCCCTGGCAGGCCACGTGTCCCCAGGCTGGGAGCAATGCAGGGCACAGCTGGGGGTGGAGATGGGCTTTGGTGTCGGCTGGCCATGGCATGGCTGGGGCTGGCGGGGAGCTCTGGGATGGAGCCCAGAGGGGGTCACCTGGAGCTGCCCAGGATCATGAAGAACTCAACCCATGGGTTCTGAACATCTCCACGGACGGAGAGTCCACAGCCACTCCAGGCAGCCCATGCCAGTGTTTGACCAACCTCACAGCAGAAAAAGGTATTTTCTTTTGTTCAGATACAATTCTGTATTTTCTTCACCTGTGCCCATTGCCCCATTGGCGGACACCGCTGAAAAGAGCCCGGTTCCCTCTTTGCTGCACCCTCCCCTGCAGATGTCTACTCATGTCACTGGGGACCCCTCGTGGTGCCCCAGCCTTCCCTCCAGGGCGAACAGCCCCAGCTCTCCCAGCATCTCCCCATATGAGAGATGCTCCAGCCCCTCACCAGTGTCAAAGCCAGGAGGATGAGCTGCCCGGGAGCCACGTGCTGCCCTCCCGCTGAAGGAAGGAGGTTTCCAGGCCTGGCCCCAGGGGCCCTACCTTGCTTTCCTTGTCTTCTGGCCAGGATCTGGCCTTCAGTGGGCAGCCCGCCCCACAGCCTGGCTCTGCACCACCGTCCTACCAGGCTTCCCGCAGCTGCCCCAACACCCCTGCACCCCACCCTGAGCCTGTGGGGTGCCCAGTGCCTCCAGCAAGGACCAAGAGCAGTCCTCCCTGGGGGTACCAATAACCCCACCGAGCTCCCCCAGCCCCCCGGGAGGATGCTGGTGGGTCCTCCAGCCCCACCAAGCAGCTGTGATGTACCCCAGCAACAAGAACTCGGGAATACGATCCCCCTTTCTAAATGGCGACAAACCATGCCCCTGCCTGCCACGGGCGTGCACGTTGTTCCCATCCCATGGGCAATGCTCCTACCCCTGGCACCCATCCCCCTGTGCCCCTCGTGGTGCCTGCAGCCCCCCGCTCTGATGCAAACACCCCAGGACCAGCCGCTCGCTGCAGCTCCTTGCAAGCCAGAGCCGAACGGAGCAGAGCTGCCGGATGGCTCCCCCGC